GGCGAACGATAATAATTATTGGTTATTACTCTGTATTGTAGATACCTTAATATCGCGGCAAAGCTGATCGAATTATGTGCCGCGGTATTTCCGCTACATGACTTTAAAAACTAATGGCCGTGCAGTTTTAGTTACCGTGCAGTGTCGAATGCACTACACAAGAGACCTCTCAGAATATACAAAACGCCTAAAGTCCAGGTATAATTGTAATAATCTGAATTTCAAAAAAAAAAAATAAAAAAACAACGGAATACTTTGAAAACAATATTGATAACCAAGAAAATATAATTATAAATTATTGTCGTTTCGACTAGAATAATATATTTATAACGTTCAACGTTCATGAATGTCACCCTTGTATGGGAAATTCGGAAGTTATCAATTCGATGTAGGCGATTTAGTTTACATAATATACTGAAAGTAACGATAAATCATAGCAATCGAAAAACAATTCTGAATCGGCTAGAATTTATATCCGTTATTTTTTTTATAATTTTCGAAAATAACTGTTGGGAATGTAGACAAATTGTTCAAGTACAGTACCTTCAAGTGAAGGATTCTCGTCTTTTAACGTACGACGTTAAAAATTGGGGTTATAATTACTAACCAAAAACAAGGTTAAGAGGGTTGAGAATTTCAAAAAATGTTTCGAAAAATCATCTTTTTTTCAGAGTAATCGAAGCATTAGCAACACTCAGGATTAAAAATAAATTGGAAAATAATGCCGTACGAACGTTAACAAATGTGTGTCATAATTTTCAGAAATTGAATAAGTTACAAAAAAAATATCTTTTTTTTTTGCTATAAATTCACAGCCATGTTATGTATAATTTTATAACTGTTCATTTTTTGTTATCCTAAGCAAATACCCTTCGTTATTATCGTGTTTAATTAAACTTTTTTTTTTATCATTATTATTTATTTTAACGCGTATAGTCGACTTGTATTTCCAATAATTCGATGAAAATTTTAAATAATTTAATAATAATATCCGTTTTAACGTTCTAGTCAGGATTATTCGATTCAAAAGTCACGTAAAAAATAATATTATGCAAATTCAAACAACTAATAATAAAAAATTAAATAACAAAATAATAACAACCTACGCTCAGCGTTTGTATATCCAGCCGGGTATAATAATATTATTATCAAGAACTCTTTTAGGTAATCAAATTGAAAAAATATCGATTTTTTAGTATGCCCTGCGCGGTTAGGCAGGACAAAATAGCCATTTAATTTTTTGCAGTAGTCACGACCTTTGCGTTTGGTTTACGTGTCGAACATTTCTCCGCGTGGAAATCATTATTAGTCAGACACCTATTACAGATCTTTTTGAACCCTCGCTAAACCGAATCCAGAGTTCGAAATTCGCCTACGAACTATTATACAGGGTGATTCTTAAATGAACGAGGAAACTAGTAGACGCGTACTCAGTGACGGGGTGTGTGAACGACGTCTTCATGAGAACACATTATCGTGCACGTCACATGATTTTACACGATTTTGACACTCAAACGTAGTGGCGCTGAACACGTGATTTAGGTCTAATGAAAACCAGACCATATTTTTGGGTTAATGGAAACAATTTCTCGACTGTGTACATATTATTTAATGTAGACCATATTAATTATAATTATTCAGTATACTTGTATCACCCTTATTCGGAGTTTCGCGTATAAAATAGTATAAAACCACGATTCTTACGAGCTGGGGATATGGTTTTATAGTACACAAAAATTGATAAATATGTGCTACAAGCAGTGCTCGAATCAGGAAATATTAAGTGGAAGAGCTCAATCCAATGATTTAAAAACTGCGTTCCAAATGCACAATAACTTAACACAGACCCGTAGGGGCCTTCGATCCCTCCACCCCGTTCCACCTTACCATAATTTTGAATAATACTTTTCGGCTAAAAATATTAAAATTCTAAATATATTTTAATAGCAAACATACATTATATACATGTTGCAGTAGAAAACACAAATTATATGAATATTATACCCTGATGATAATATTTTATCATTTTTTTTTTTTTTTTATCGCTTTTCTGGGTATAATTTATAAACCACCATGTTACTCTATGGTAACCACATAGCCATAAGTTTATTTAAATAAATCCAACTATGCGGTATCGTTTGGTTATTGTGGTATCGTTTGATAAAATATCGATATATCTACTGTATGGTAAAAAAATATAGGACCATAGAAAAGATAACAATATCAAATTAATATCAAAAATAATTTTGAAATTAAAAACAGTAAAATTCGTTACATAATTGACAACAATTGAAATCCACATTTTAATAAAAATTATTTCGGACATTAGTTAATGCCGTCCTCCTGTTCCCCCGTATAATATATGATTAGGGTACGGAAAATAAAACTTTATTCCAAACGAATCTCAAATCTCATTGGCTAATCACTGGGTAATATGGTAGGTTACGGCAGGTCACGTATGATTATATCATTATTATGGGTGTAAACAAATTAAATGAAAATTTATGTGTTGCGATTATCTTATACGCATGGTATATCGTCTTTTTTTTTTTTATTTCGGTGAAATTATCGTATAAAATGTACACAAATTGGTGTTATTACATAATATTACCGGTATGACGACTTTGCGGGAATTGTCGTGGAAAATATATATTTTTATTAACGCGAAAATTCCTAGAGCGAATGTAATAAAAAAAAAAAATCATGTTTCAAAAGCGAATAAAAAAGCTCCAAAAATATTGTCATTTGTACACTCCGCTGCAAAAGCACGCGTTTAATATACAGACAACATCCAATGGAAATATGACGAATCCAATAATTTTTTATTTTTTTTTAATTACACCGTGTTATAATATATTTTACATACATTGGTTTTTGAATTAGTTCACACCGCCACGTTATGATACTCGTCGTTATGCGTGTTGCGAGTTATGCGAATCCGAGTGTTCGGAAATATCGTATTTAACCGTACAGTCGAAAATTCCAAAATCAGGGTTTGAACGTAGGTAATTTAACCGTGAAAACGGGGATGAGCTTTAAAAAATCAAAAAAAAATCACCGTTCGCTTTATTTACACGGGGACAGGGTGTATATTATTATTATTATTATGTTGTATACGTTACAGGGGAGCTGCAGCTGTATACAGCGAGCGACCCTATAAAATTGTTAATTACGGAATTGGCGAGGCGATCGGGGTGGAGACGGAGGCGTTCGGACGGTGTTTTGTAGATTCGCGGGGCCGAAACGTCGAGGACGACGAGGACGGGCCCGAAGTCTGGCCCGCCGGAAATTCGGGACTATGATTAATTGCGTAGCCGGATACGCCGGGGATCGTGTTCACCTGGGCCCGATTTCCATTTATTCGACGGCGGCCGCGTTATCCAATACCGAACTCCGACGCCTCCGCCATAAGTCCTTTATGTTCCCGTATTATATTATATTATATTATTTTGTTTCGCGTATAACATTCTCCGGATCGCGCGGCGCAGGAACACACCCCGGACGGCGTTACGCGACACTCGCGGCGGAGGCGTCGGGACGGCCCCGGGATGACTTATCGTTATATTATTTCCGTTAAAACGTCACATCCGGCCCGGGATTCCGCCTTGTAATTACCGCGCCGCCGCCGTCCGATGATAATATTTACGCGCGCGTACACAACGAAACAAAATATATAAAATACTGTCTCGGGAAGCGGCCGCGCGCGGCGATCGGACGACGGGCCGAGAACGACACTCGTCTCTCTCGTCGCGCCGCCGCGTAATTAAAGTTTTCGACGACAAAGCGGCTCTATAATATACGGACTATGAACGCGCACGCGCGTAAATAGATTATAAATTTCTCGCGCCCGTAATCATATTAGCGCGCGCGCAACGATATAGGGTACGGGGTACGGGGGTATCCGGCCGTCCCTGGCGCGGGGCCCGTCCGCGTAAAACGCCGCGGAGTTTTACCGTTCGCCGTAGCGCTGCGCCCCCGTGCACGTTACCACTATAGGCGCGCACGATACGTTGAGAAAATCGTGCCGGCTTTACGTTTCACAGCGGCGTACCGTGGCAATATTCGAATAGCGCGCGTTAATTACTGCGGCCCCCTCCGCCCCCCGAAACCCTTTCCCCGCGATAATCGCACGTGCCCGTTACCCGTTACGGTCCGCGGGTTCGAATCCGGAATGTTCGGATGTCGTTTTGACGGCGGGCGGCGGTAGGAGCGCGTCTGATATTATATAATATTACGGCGTTGAACGCCGCGTGACGATGTTACCGGTATCGTCACGACGACGACGCGCGGCGAATCCGAAACTCGCGGACGGCGAACATTTGATCGATTGGTCCGCGAAATGTCTGTTTATTCCGCGCGTTTAAACGCGTTAAAAATGTATTTCAAACAAATCGCGAATCGTTACTATACAATGGAACCTTATCCGCGGGCAGCCGGGCACGCGTGGAGCAGTTTAACTTTGGCGACAAGTTTAAAACGAACCGTTATCACAATTTTCTCGACCGTCCGTTAACGAGTAAAAAAATAGCACGGGCGTTTTCATGTATGTACCCTCATAACGAAATCGGCTGTTTTCGCGCGACACTGAAACAAACGTACTTACCGTGTACCAGAAATCTATGGCGTTTATCTCGTTAAAAATTCGACGTTGCTATTTCCAAATGAGTTAACGCGAACGGAAATCTACCGGTATGAGTTGGAGACCGTTATTTAACGTATCGAGACATTGCATTTGGTGTCCCATTAAGAATACCCCAGATTTATGTTGCCCGGTATTTCTTGTTTTATGTGTTGGCTGACTTGTTTTTTCTTATCATTATGATCTTTAAACTCTCCGCGATGAAACCATAGATATAAAACATTCCATAAAAATCTCTTTGCTCGCGTAATTGATACTACTATTATCCGTTCGCTCTCTGTCTTTTGCACGAATTCGACTACTTTCCTTGTCACACACAGAAACATCCGCGTGAATGAGAACTGTCGGTTCTCTCTCCGTTATGTTGACCTATGCGTGCATGCATAGCCAGTATAGGAATGCCTTATCCATATGTACAATATCTATGGATGAAACGCTGTAAATATTTTATCGATTTATTTTGTTTAATTCATTCATCTAGTACTGAGCTCAAGAACATTATCGACTAACCTGAATATACAAATGTGCATGACCCTGATACGACCCATAGTACTGTATGCCGCGGAAACATGACCACTTAGGAAAGCAGAAGAAACCAGAATAAAAGTATTTGAAAGGAGAATCCTATGGAAAATCTACGGCCCATGCTTCGACACAAACATAGGTGAATGGCGTAAACGTCATAATAAAGAACTCGATGAGCTATTCGAGAGACCGAACATCGCGAACGAAATCAAGAAAAGGAGATTAACCTGGGCAGCACATGCATGGCGGAGAGTAGGATCCATAGTCAGAACAACAATCGAAGAGAACCCGGTTGGTAAGAGACCCCTCGGAAGACCACGCTTACGTTGGGAAGACTGTGTTAAAAGAGACGCGGAAAGCATTGAACCAGAGATACCATGGAGAGTAGCGGCAGAAAATAGGGATAGATGGAGAGAAATTTGTTTGGCGGTATGGTCTCAATGACCGTAAACCAAAANGGCGTCTCTTTTTAAGAAAGCATTGAACCAGAGATACCATGGAGAGTAGCGGCAGATAATAGAGATAGATGGAGAGAAATTTGTTTGGCGGTATGGTCTCAATGACCGTAAACCAAAAAAAAAAAAAAAAAATGATTTATCTATTTTGATTGTTTCTAAATCTCTGTTTGTTATCATGGTGCGACTAACTATTCAATAACGCGTTTTAATTTAGTCCAGTTTCGTTGAACTTAACTATCAGTCGACTGTTGACTCGGCAGGAGCCTCATTTCGACCCATGATCCGTCTAAGATGGCGCATTGTGTCGGCATAACTTTCATTATGGCAATAAACAGTCTTAACAACCAAAACGCGTTCTTGAATAGTTAGTCACACCGTGATTACATACAGAAGGTTATAAGCAATCAAAATAAATCAATAAAACCTTCACAGCGTTTAATTGCGGAGAGTTTATAGATGATAATGATAAGAAAAACAGGTCAGCCAACACACAAAACAAAACAAATATCGGAAATTTTAATCCGGCGTTCTTAATGGGACACCCTATATTTACGAAATTTTAAAATGTTGCCGCTAAATATGCCAAGGATCGTCAAACGGCAGAGGGGAGTGAAAAGGGGGACATATCCCTCCTGTGACATGAGTTAAGCTATGTCCGGAATTGTTAAAAAAAAAAAAATGTAAAAAGAAAAAGAAACCTTCGAAGAACGCCACTGGAAATATATTTTGTACTTTATAGTTACTAGTGTTTTTTTTTTTCACTGCAGTCGGTCCATTATGCTATAATAATACTAATATCATTATACGCTTGTTAATGTTGTATAATATTATATTATGTTTTAATCATTTATTACGTAGGTACCTTCTATAAACTTGCCCATTTCACTTTGGGTAGACATAATTTATTCAATGAAACGAGAACGAAAACGACGGCGAGGCGGTACGATGAAACGCGTAATGTTTTGCAACGCGTAAAAATTATTATTTCATTAACTTTTGAATAGTTAATTTTATATAGGTACCTACCATAAAACTATAATAATACCATGCCTTGGTATAGGTATCTAGTTTCTGGAATATAAAATGCAAAATGCAATATTAACAATATTATGTTTGCTACTTACCGTCCTATTGCCGAGGTTTCTGACTCTGCAATTCAAATAGGTGGTGTGGCCGACCAGCGCGGTGACATTTTTCGACGCTGTTTTATCAAAATACGGACCGCGTATGGATGTGGATTCGATTAACGGCGAAATTGTTTCGTCCGGCACCTTGTGATCAATGGATCCCGACACCATTTCTAAAAAAAAAAAAAACCCACAAAATCTTGTTAGATATCGATTTTTGCTGAGCAATAATGATGACACAATAACATATAATACGTATTTCTGTTTGAATTTAGAAACCGACATTATAAGTTCTTAACCGATGGTTGCAAATATGATGTGATGTACAAATTCAAATTCCATATCAAATATATGCAATGAAAAAATCAAAAATAATATTATACAATGTATAATATACATATTATGTACATTTGAAATTATTATGTTCAAGTATACAGGGTGATTCAATCAATGGGAAACACTCATCATCTCGGAGAGTATTAGCTTTTTTCGAATTTTTTTTTTTTTATGAAAAATTATGAATCAAATAGTCTTAAAGTTTTACCTTATAATTTTTTATGTATCCATTATTTTTGGGGGTGAAATGACTGCCTAATTTTGATTTTCAAATGGCAACCTATTTTTAAAATACCTTAAATAGATGGATTATTATTCAAAATAAATTTTGGTGTTGAAAATTTTCATTTTCGTCAACCTATTGACGAGATGTTCCACTATTAAGGTTAGGTTGGAAGCGAGTAGTGGAGTATCATTTGTGTGGCGGTACGGCACGCGGCGTATTATAATGCACCACTATTCTCTTCCAACTTAAAAGTGAAATATCCCATCAATAGGTTGACGGAAATGAAAATTTTCAACACCAAAATTTATTTTAAATAATACTCCATCTATGTAACCTCTATAACATATTCCATATTCCATACCAAGTTAGTATTTTCTAAATTTAGATTTTAAAATTAGGTTTTTTGATTTTGTATATCTATAATAAATATTTTTCTTAAAAGATCCCTTGTTACGCTCATAATGTAGTATGTGTATTAAACAATTTTATAGAAATAAAAACCTATACTTTATCTTTTTTTGATAATTTTTCTTATAGTGTGGCTATAAGAGATTATTATCATATTCAACTATATTACCGTTAACACCTTTTTTATTCGATAATGCAAATTTGAAGTTTCTGAATAACATTTGGCAGCTATAGATTTTTTAAGTAGGTGTCTCAATTATTTTCACCACCAGAACAGGGATGAACGCAGGGAACGATTTCGGGGGCGAGCATTACACAAATTGAATCACTGCGAATTAATTGTATACTATTATTGTTTTAATACTAGATAAATTATAGATTTTTCGGGGGGTGAGGGATAGGAATAGGATGAATATCTAAAAAATTCTCAGGTTCAAAAACTGAACCAGAAACATAAAAAAAAACTTTATTTATTAATTGTCTCCCCCTTTTGAAAATTTTGAATACGACATTGGTTATGATATTTTAATATATTACGGTATGCCGTTAATCGTATATCTTAGAACTCACCAAACAACTCCAGTAAAAAATACAAATACATAAAATAAAGTCTCATTTTCTTCGTGACCAATGGGAAGTTGATAAAGGGGGTGGATAAAACAGTAAAAATTCATCTACGGTCTAAACTGCATGGTTTTAACCAGCTAATAGGTATTAATAAAAAAAAAAAACAAAACGCATAATATCGAATGTTATTTCGAATTTCTTTTATCTCATTAGTTTTATCAAAACTATAAATCATATTCTTATATATTAAAATCGCGTTCTAGAGAATTAATGAGTTTCTGTTTGATCCCTTTAGTACGTCTATAGGTATATTTAAATTTCAAAATAAGTATCTGGAAAAAGAATGCTTTATTTTATAAACAAAGCGTCTTTTTAAACACAGTTTCGGTGCATAATAAAATACAAGTTATTATTCGGTTACCTGCGCAAACAATAATCATTATTGTTTCGTGTATCATTACAGTTGCATTATTTTGCATAATACTTTATACAACGCGTTAAATTATGCGATGGCGCAACGATGAAATGTTTGATTGTAAATAATAATAATAACAACAATAATAATATTCCGAGTTGTTATTTTTCAAAACGTTGTACCTACCTATAATATGCATTTGAAAACAGTCGAATACTATTCGCTCTTCTATGCCAATAATCTGAATTAAAATATATATTGGCACTACCTGTACTTACCTAATCAAATTTATGTTTTGAAAAATGATTTGACTTCTTATATTTACCTATTTCTTTTCTATGTTTTGTATGAAGTATTTTTTTCTTTTACACTGAAGTACAGGGTTATTTTCAGAAAAAAAGGAATCCCACCATGTAATTTGACTTGATAAAAAAAAAAAAAAGATAAAGAAAAGAAACCGAACAAGTGTTGCCTGCTAAACATACACGTAAAATCAAAGAATTCATACGTGTTTACAAAATTGCAATTTGGCGAACAGTAGTTGGCGAATTTTACTCCAGCTTATTAATCTAAAATCTCACATTATTGTATTCGTGCGTAAAAACGACAGCACCTATTCCATTTGATGAGTGTCAGATGATAAATAAGAGTAAAAGTATAATTGTTAAGGTGGTCATTGAAATGTAAAAAATCATTTTAAAACTGTATAAAACCTTCAAAAAAAAAAAATAAATAAAAAACCGTTTCCAATCAACGTCATATGTTTCGGTTTTTTTTTTTTTTTATAAAACTATAGCCGAAGAACCGCTAAAATGTCGAATTGTCGCCCGAGAGATAACGAGAGATAATTGTCGCCCGTATATTATTACGTTATTATTTTCTTGAATAAAAATTAGGACATATTCTGTACATGGTGTTGTTGTATGCTATTATTAAAAAAAAAAAAACAAAATCAATGAAGCGACGAATAAATAAATGTTCATCGTCATTGTATACCAGTAGCTTATAGTGTACACGTCAGTTTTTATTAAAAAAAAATAAAAAAAAAAAAAATAATGATAATAATAAGAAGAAAACTCGGTTGTTCATAACAATAATCGCATTATAGAACGTGCGATACCTCGTCGATTTTCTCTTTTAATATTGTAATATTATATATAAAGCAAAATGCAAATAATGCGAAAAATAAAATGGCCGACGACGAGTTCGCGCCGTGCGATACGAAATATATGTATGTATAAATATACACAGGTATACACTCGGAACATGAAACGCATTGTACACCGTTGACATTGTTATTATTATTTTGTCAGTTAGGCGGCTACAAGACAAATTTAATTCATTAAACATTTACGGGATCGTTCGTAAAAATATGTTCAATAGTTTATAGCGGCGATGACGAGATAATGGAGTGGAGCGTATTTTCTTTGCCTCCCCCTTCCATCCACCCCCCCCCACACACNCACAACCCCCCCCCCCGTCGTCGCTAACATTTTACAATCGAGAGAACTCGATGAATATAACCCTGTATAATATATTTTTTGTGTGTATATTTATCTATACGTGTACACAATATAATCACGTCTGTTACACTCATTCACCGTGATTCGAAGAAATATTTTTTTTTCCTTATTCTACATTAACTTGATTAAAAATAAATATGCGCATTTGGACGTATAGGTATTCGACCGACAAAGTTTACTTTTTTTTCATTTTATCGATGGATTGATTTTATACATTGGGTATTTATTTTATAATTAAAACGTTTTTTAAATGTTTTGATTAAAAACATTCAAAACGCTTTGAAAAAAAAAACCAACCAACCCTTTATAATATAAAGATTACACTATTAACATCATATTATTATTCTATTTTACGAATGATATTTTATTTAAAGAAATCTAAAC